CTTGTAGTATCACATTCTACATCACATTCAGTGAGTCATTACGATTGAGTAGAATGCGTGCTCACTTCAAAAAGGGGAACTATCAGAGTGAAAAGCTCTAAGCTTCTAGTTTGTCCACGAATATTGATATTTAAATTCAGTAGGAATATTGTTCACACTATCTGAGGAATTTATATTGTTCGGAAAACTTACTTAATATGATATCTGCTGTTTGACGCCACAGTTTCCGTTCTCAGAGTTTTCACAGAAATGATTGTTATGGACAAAAACCTTGATATCAGGCAGGACTCGAACCCTGCAACTCATGTTCGCAGCACACAGATAGCGCTCTCATCTGGTAGAGGTAAGGTGCTGGTTCGAGTCCCACCTGAGGTCAAGACATTTTCCAGCAACTCACTATTCTTGTGAACAAATCTACATAAATTTTTCGCCTCCGGCATGGAACAAGAAGGTCCTGGTTTGCGGTATTTTCGACGATCCTCACTGCTCTCTTCTTCATGGGCAAGTCAACGAGCCCATACACTTCTATTATCCAACCCAGCTGCCCTCAAACTCCTCAACTAATTGTAGCGAAATCTGCCTTACGATTATTTAGGTCCCACTACACCATGACAAAGACTCCCTAATCGAGAAATTTTGGCTTAACTCTTTGGCAGGAACATTGTTGACATACTTTATGACGTCTTCCGCCGTCTCAACTCGATCTAGTTGAACGAGAAAGGTGGCAATCGCTCTGATAAGGGCTCCATATTTGGCCTCACAAAGACATATTAATGTCTGGCCGCCGATAGTGTTACAAACGATAACGTTGACAAAGTACGGAATTACTGATTGTTTCGAGCGAAGCCAAACCTGTAACAGTGCACTTGCATTCATGCATATCATTACAAGTAAAAAGTAAAATAGTAATAGAGATGTGAGACTAATCTCTTTCTCCGCACCGCACAGTAATGCGAATAGTCTCACACATGATTCTTTGGCGATCAGTGCACATCGTTGTTGGGGATTCCCCAACAGGGGGGGGGGACACATTTGGTCGCTGGAGGAAAGATGGTCGTAAATGGTCTGAGAAAAAAAAA